CCACCTTCTGGAGTCTCTTTTATTTGATCAGGTACTGACAGTCCTGCTTTTCTCTGTGTGCACAGTAGACAAAATAGATTGCTTGAGCATAAGATGTTGAGAGTTCTGATCTTTCTGAACAGAATGACAACTTTAACCATCATCTTCCTGTCAGTTAAATGTCACATGTGATTTCTCAGGAGTCCAGATGCTATGAAGGCAGCTCGTGAGGAAGTGCTGAAAATTCTGGAGGATTCAGGTCTGACGGTTGACCCTAGCAACCCAACACTCAACCTGACCCGGGACCAGCTGGACAACATGCCTGTTCTGGGTAAGATTCCATAGATAACTGGAAAATAGAAGTTGTACAACATATGATATTGCTTGATTTAAGCCTTGCAATGCCTACACATATAAACCATTTTCTTCAAATCCAATTTCCATTTCATGAACCTAATGTGTCTCTTTCTGTCTATTTTCTGTCTATAGACAGCATCATAAAAGAAGCCATGCGTCTTTCCAGTGCTTCAATGAACGTCCGTGTTGCCAAGGAGGACTTCTTGCTTCACCTTGACAACCAAGAGGCATACCGCATCAGGAAAGATGATGTGATCGCTTTATATCCACCCATGTTGCACTTTGACCCAGACATCTATGAGGATCCCTATGTAAGAGCCCTTACTACATAATAAAGAGAAAACTCTCTTCCAGGAAGTAATTATATTTTGTGTGGCCCCACTGAACCCCTGTCTATCTCTCTTCTCTTCAACACACAGGAGTTCAAGTTTGATCGTTTTCTGGATGAGAAGGGTCAGGAGAAAGTGAACTTTTCGCGCAATGGCCGGCGACTGCGTTACTTCAACATGCCCTTCGGCTCCGGGGTCACCAAATGCCCTGGCAGATTTTTTGCTGTGTATGAGATCAAACAGTTCCTGACTCTGGTGCTGTCCTACTTTGACATGGAACTGTTGGACCCTGCTACCCAAGTCCCGCCTCTTGACCAATCACGAGCTGGTCTGGGAATCCTGCAGCCTACCTACGATGTGGACTTCAGATACAAGCTTAGGTCCACCTGCTAGGCTCTTTGTTCAGGCAGAGTGATTTAAGAACATAGTGTACATAATGTATATTTAACAGTGTTAATGAAGATGTCTTTATGTATATGTAAATAGATTGAATGATATATTGTTTATGCATTTTTTTGCCACTGTAGGACATATATTCTGCACATATGGATGAATCCCATAATATTACACAAGTATAAATGGGTGAAACACTGGTGACTGGAAGTTCCCTTTCTACACTTTTGATATATTTTCACTTCTCATGCCGTAGGATGGTCTATCACAGCAGCATTCTGCAGTGAACCAAGTCTTCATTACCGCTTTGGCTCATCTATTCTGCCACAGTGCTTTTCATTCACAAATTGCTGACTAGACTCTTCTCATTTGATCAATGAATGCATATTACTGTAATCAGTATCATTTACTAACCTCACCTTGAAGTAGAAGATTGAGCTTCCATCACCTTGGAGTTTGCCCTCTCAGGTTGTCTCAGTCTCAATGCTGTCACAAAAGAGCTGAGTGTTGCTCAACACAGACCTTCATATGTCGCCGTCATCCACCCTCTGAGTATAATTACTGTAAGGCCTGTTGCTCAATATTAAGATACGCTGTGGTTTGCTTGATAAGGAGAAATTAGCATACTGCATTTCTCAAGTAGCCAGCTGAAAGTGGTGACAAGCCAAAAAACTGAAAGGAAATTACAGTTGTAATGAATGTGCATGCACAAAGTGAAGAAATCAGAACATTGACATATGTGCTGCATAGCTGTCTGTAAAATGTCTATAATTAAAGAATTTGTCAGTGTTGAACCAACAAGTATGTCCAATTTCAAACAGTCCTCTTGACTTTCATTAAGTTAATTCATAGAAATGACACACGATAGTTAATGCAGCTGACAGCTGAGGGAGACAGACGGGAATCCAAATGTATTTGCATTTGTCCCTGGATTGAGATTGAAGGTAAATCAGTTATTGATATTATTGTTTTCAATTGAAAACCAAACTATTAACATGTATTAGTGTGTTCCTTCCTTATATGGGATGGAAACAAGGTCAGAACACCACTGTAAACATGCACAGCTTTTTTCATTTAGCTCCCTGACAATCTGAAGGGTTAGCACTGAACACAAGTTCAACCTACACATGTACATGCTGTGCAGACAGATGATAAATCAATACGTGTGTGCACTTATCTTTGTCCCATGTTCTCATATCTCTCTCTCTAGATTTACATATTAGAGCTGCACTTGAATGCAGCTCTAATATGTATTTCATGTTATCGAAATATGAACTAGTGCAATATTTAAATCATAGGAAGTACAGATTTGTTAAGGGCTAAATATGTTTTGAAAAGCAATTTGGAGGAAGCTCTTAATCTACAGACCTATCAAAACATCTTGTTTGGTACAGAAAAACCACACCATGATCATTATAAAAACGTTTCAGATAAAATGATAACAAATTATGCAAAATGATCAACACCCTAATATCATGAATCATATCGCACATGCAGAATTGTCATAGTAACAGTTCAAAGGTATTTCCTAAAATGTTGTATTCATTATTCAGTGTGTCAAATCTAATGATTTAAAAAATTGAAAATGAGTTATAACCAGGCTCACAGCATGAAAACACATGAACAAACTTATTTTAAGCCGAAATAGAAGTATCTTCCCTACTCCTCTCCTCGTCATTTTAGTCACCTTGCACGGCAGACATCTTCTTCAAACGCAGCCTTTATTTTAGTCTAGGTGAATTCTTTAACATGATCTGTTGCACACATCATTTATTGTCTGTGTGTATATCATATCTTACAATCACCCACAGCATACATAAAAGTATGTTACCTGTAAATAACACTTCTCATGCGACTCAGAGGCTGACAGATTTGTAGACTGAGTGCTTAAATATATTTAAATGCATTGCTTTTAAATATATTATCATCAAGAAAATTATTGTTACTAACTTTTAAAATGTTCACATTTGTAATGCCGATTGGAAATAATTGTTGCATACAATGGGAGGGGGATCATGACTTATTTTCTGCTTCCAAAGTAAGGTACAAAAAAGGCTTGAGACCCACAGGTTAAGTATGTAGATCAGGGGTGCCCACACTTTTTCAGCTTGGGAGCTACTTTTAAAATGACCAAGCCCAAAAGATCTACCTGCCCAATCTGTGTCGCGAGCGAGCCAATGCTGGCACGCGTGCCAGGGGTTGCCGACCCCTGGTATAGAGTCTATGATGTGGCTGAGGTAAAGTGTCAGTGGGGGGGCGTCCTCATTGATGAGGGGAAGAAACTGTTCAGGTGGCAAGAGGTTTTGTTCCTGATGGAGCGCAGCCTCCTGCCAGAGGGGAGGGAGGTGAACAGTTTGTGTCCAGGGTGGGAGGGGTCTGCCACTATCTTCCCTGCCCGCCTCAGGGTCCTGGAGGCATGCAGGTCGTGGAGGGATGGCAGATTACAGCCGATCACCCTCTCTGCAGAGCGGATGACACGCTGCAGCCTGCCCTTATCCTTGGCTGTGGCTGCAGCGTACCAGATGGTGATGGAGGAGGTAGAAGTATCAGTATACCTCATGGAGGTGTAGAAGTTCACCATCATCGTCTGTGGCCCCTGGATGTGTAAAGAGGGAGCTGTGGCCCCTGTCTCAATGCAGACAGGATCTGCTCTATCTTATCTGATCAAGCGCACATTTAAAACAAATGGAAATTGTCAGGACCTTTTTTTTAAAAGGTTTTTGATGTGTGTTGATTAGTTTCCCCACTGGTTCCTACATTTTGGAAACTTTTCCTGAAGCCCAAAGGCTTGCAAATGAATGGTCTCTGTGTGGGATGAACACATTTCTGTGAGATTCTAGTTCCATGCAGCTGTTTTTGTATCTTTATGGTCCTATAACAAATTAGACATTCATGACACATCCCTGCGGCAGTCAGAAAAGGAACTATTTCTCAATACACATTTACTAGTTAATATGAAGGTTAATTCAATATTTAGCTTTCATTAGGCCACTAGATATGAAGTAAGGTTATAATAGGTTCTTGTTAAACCTTCAATAACCCCATTAGCCTGACATGACCCTTGCAGTCCAGAAAGTTGACTCCAGAGTGGACAGGAAGGACACAGAGTGAGGCACCAAACTGAAATGAATAAGTCACAGGTTGCTGAAATCATAGCCAGCTGCTCAGTCACATGTGTGGTGTATTACACAGTCACCTTGTGTTTAAAGGTCTATATCCCAATATGTAGCTCTGGGCATGGGCCCTAGTAAAATTACTTCAAATCCTCCACACACTCCATTCTTTGATTCTCCTGTAGAGGTTACCACAGTGTGTGCAGGGTATCTATCACCAGGTTAGTGGAGAGTCTGTCTTTGCCAGAGTGTGTGTTCAGGGTGTATGGTCACTGAACCCTTTTAAATGAGGACATTAGGATCAAAGGTGTAGGGAAGGGTCCTTGTAGCTGTTCTGACACCCAGAGGGTAAGGGAAAATATACCATATCCACATATCGATATTTCAACCCACCTACACAGGAGCAAGTTGGGGTTGGTATCTCGTCCAAGGACACAATAGCCGCGTTCACACCAAGTACTTTGCCGTATTTAGTGCCGGCACTCAGAGCCCCGGCACTTATGACCCCAGGGCATTTAGTACAGATCGCGTTCACACCGGAGTACTTTTCCCTGAGGGAAGATTACGCAAATGAGCCGCTGACGTCACTTCTTCTTCTTCTGCTTTGGGTTTACTGGCAGGCCGCAAACAACTTCACGGCGTATACTGCCACCCGGAGTCCCCGGCCGGAAGTCCCCGGAGTTGGGGACTGCTGGGACTCCCAGCAGCTTCTACTGAAGCCTTCCGAGTAAATCGCCAGAACGCCGACACCTCCTCATCTCCACCGTTCCCATGTTTTCTTTTGTGTTGCCATAAGTTAGTCTCTCTGCGTTTCTGCGCTGGGCGAATGCTAATGCTAATAATGCTAATGCGAGGATAATAAAATGGCGGCTCTACAAAACATTTCAGAGTTGTACGGGGCGTGGTTTGCAATTCGCCCAGCCAACCAGAACTGGGGCACTTTTTTCCCCCAGGAAAGTGTGATCACTAAACCTATAAGCCATAAAGAAATGGGAGATGCAGAATGGACGGGCTTTGGCCTTCAGGAGGGATAAACCCGCTCCAAGGAAACGGAAGTGACGTGACCTCTGTCAGAAGGTAAAGTATAGAAACATATGTACCTATTACTTATTATTCACAAATGATAAGTATATTACTGAACATTTACAATTGACTGGTGCAAATATTATCAATCAAATTATTTACACTGAGTGACTCACTCCAGACTAAAACATAATGATGATAGTTTCAGATTAAGAAATGCCTCATGCATACATTTTATATCACACCCCCAGTAGTTACCCCCAGAGCCCAGCCTCCTCCCTGTGGTCTGCCAGGAGCCCCCAGAGCCCAGCCTCCTCCCTGTGGTCTGCCAGGAACCCCCAGAGCCCAGCCTCCTCCATGTGGTCTGCCAGGAGCCCCCAGAGCCCAGCCTCCTCCCTGTGGTCTGCCAGGAGCCCCCAGAGCCCAGCCTCCTCCCTGTGGTCTGCCAGGAGCCCCCAGAGCCCAGCCTCCTCCCTGTGGTCTGCCAGGAGCCCCCAGAGCCCAGCCTCCTCCCTGTGGTCTGCCAGGAGCCCCCAGAGCCCAGCCTCCTCCCTGTGGTCTGCCAGGAGCCCCCAGAGCCCATCCTCCTCCCAAGCAGTCTCTGGGTGCTGTCCATGTACGGCAGGGATATCCTCTCCCACATGGACCATATCAAGGCCAGCATCACCTCCATATTTAGTTCCATCTTAAAGATGGACTCAACCAAAAAGGTCAAATATAACGTGACTGTGTATTTGATTTCCATGTTTGTTAAACTCTCTTATAAACAATAACATTAAAAACTAGTTTTTATTATAAATGTGTTTGGTTATAAATCTGGAAACATTAACTGCTATAGATCATTTCTAATAAATGCCTCAACTTCGCTGTTGTCACATTCCAGATCACAAAGCATCAAAGCAAGGTGGAGCAGCTGTTCCCTGCTCCACCCTCAGGTCCTCAGGTGGAGATGTAGCTGTTCCCACCCTCTGGCCCTCAGGTGGAGATGTAGCTGTTCCACCCTCTGGCCCTCAGGTGGAGATGTAGCTGTTCCCACCCTCAGGTCCTCAGGTGGAGATGTAGCTGTTCCACCCTCTGGCCCTCAGATGGAGATGTAGCTGTTCCACCCTCAGGTCCTCAGGTGGAGATGTAGCTGTTCCCACCCTCTGGCCCTCAGGTGGAGATGTAGCTGTTCCACCCTCTGGCCCTCAGGTGGAGATGTAGCTGTTCCCACCCTCAGGTCCTCAGGTGGAGATGTAGCTGTTCCACCCTCTGGCCCTCAGATGGAGATGTAGCTGTTCCACCCTCTGGCCCTCAGGTGGAGATGTAGCTGTTCCACCCTCTGGCCCTCAGGTGGAGATGTAGCTGTTCCCACCCTCTGGCCCTCAGATGGAGATGTAGCTGTTCCACCCTCTGGCCCTCAGGTGGAGATGTAGCTGTTCCCACCCTCAGGTCCTCAGGTGGCGATGTAGCTGTTCCCACCCTCTGGCCCTCAGGTGGAGATGTAGCTGTTCCCACCCTCAGGTCCTCAGGTGGAGATGTAGCTGTTCCCACCCTCAGGTCCTCAGGTGGAGATGTAGCTGTTCCCACCCTCTGGCCCTCAGGTGGAGATGTAGCTGTTCCCACCCTCTGGCCCTCAGGTGGCGATGTAGCTGTTCCCACCCTCTGGCCCTCAGGTGGAGATGTAGCTGTTCCCACCCTCA